TTTTTTTTTATCCAACAGCCCGCACCTCCACCCCCTGTACTCTGAGTATTTTTTCTGCGGCAACAAGCTAATCATGATGAGACTGATAATTTACAGTATACTTAAAACCTGATAGAGATACACTAAGAATGAGATTCACTGGCTGGCAAAACAATCTCGATAAGTTACACCAAGTGGATTTTATTAAAGGTGCTTTCAGCTATACTGTAGCACACATATTGTTCATCCGCAGCTGCCCTGAAACTGTAGGAGGTCAAAGTTTTCATTACGCAGAGCACTCGTGCTCTCAGTCACGTTGGCTTGAGCACTAAAAGTTGAGCATTACGAATTGCTCCTCTAAAAGTGCTTAGAATGATGGAAATTACAGTCATTTGCAGCTCCATAACAACCGTGACTACTGAGATTATGCAACGCCGTTTAAAAGCACACTTTGACTGCTCTGGCATCTAACTGAGGATATCTGTAACTAAACTGTAAGTCATTTGAGTTTGAAAAACTACGTGGCACTGACACAACCAAGTTATTTCAATATTTCAATAATGAAACTTATGTGCGAGTTCAGTAAGGAAGATGATTCAGTATTCACTCTTCTGCCTGCATTCCTGGGTGTTTGGGCTGCTAGTCTAGTCTTCATATTACTTCATTATCAGGTCTCCACTGCTTCATCTCTGCCACCACCAGGATTTAGGCCCTGGGTAGGTCCTGCCCTACTTTGTATCACTTTTGGACTATGCTCTGCTAATGTAGCTTCCTCGGAGTCTAATTGCTAAATAGTTTATTACTATGAATTAAGTTCAGTTCTTTCAAATTTTCTCTCCTCATTGAAAACTGTCAGGAATAAAAACTGACTTACTCCTGTTAACTGATAGGTGTGAATTGCATCATCCATGTACAGTTGTGAATGTCTTGTATAACCCGGTCCTCATCTTTTCTGGACCCTATTGAATTACAGTTATTCTTTACAATTTAGTGTTTGTGTTTATCTCATTTTTGCACGTCCTGCCTTCTTGGTCGTCAACTTCTACACCAAGACGTGACATGAGTGGTGAGACAAGGCTATTCAGAGCCAAAGGATGGGGAGGAGCTGTCCACTGTGACTTGGGTGCTGAAACACTCTGTCCAAGTGGAAGTGCAGACACACGCGTGCATTTTCAGGTACATAAACAAACAAACAGAGTTTTCTCTCTTTCTCCTTTCATCTGTCTTTCATACACGTCCGCACCAAAACATGCCAGAACTTTGGAAAAGACGTGTGACCTGGAACGGCCCTCGGCCATCAGCCGGCAGACAGGTTTAAACTTCCTCGCATTTTGTGCAGCTTTTGTTTCTCTTCCCACCTCCCTTTGTTTCTTTTGCTCTTTTCTCTGCTGCCCTCCATCCCCACTCGCAGTGAGGTAAATGGCTGCTGAAAAGATAATGGAATGTCTGCCGGCCTGGCCTGGACTCTCCATCTTCTACGGCTCTGACAACACATTGGGAAATTAAAAGAGGGGAGGGGGAGTGAAGGGAGGCTGGAGGATAGAGAAGGGAAACAGAGAGATAGAGGGACAGAAGAAGAAGAAGGGAAAGGCTGACTACTCGTGTGTGTGTGTGTGTGTGGGTGCATCAGCGATCAGGGTCAGTACATGGCACTGAGCTCAAGGGCTCTTAGAAGAGATAGAGGGATCAAGAACGAGGGGCTAAGTGGCCCAGGACTAAAAGTGTAATCAGTTTTCTGACTGTAGCAGACGACCCAACGCTGACCGCTGTAGGGCCATCCAGTTGGATGGAGGTGGGAAACAACAATAATCTTCCTCCAAAAACAACTTCAGTGTTGTCTATTCCACATAATCAGCATTCACAATTCACCAGGGAGGAAGTTTGTGATGAAGGGCAGCTTTAGAAGCTGCAGACATGTAACCCGGATCTAAAACACCTCTTGAGAGGGAAAAAAAATAATTAAAATCTGGGAACTAACATGACCCCTTAAACCTCCAACTCACAGAGTCCTTGTGATCTCCGCTGAGGCTTGTGTAGGCGACACTGTAGCTCTCCACGTTGGGGTCTTCCAGCTCCCACGAAGCCTCTAAGCTCTGGGTGGTCTCGTCACTCAGCTGAAGGTTTCTCACAGCCTGACGTGCCGCTGAGACACCACATCACAGATTCACTGTTACTGTACCAAATTACTCTAGATATTATTTCTCAAAAAATGAGGCTTGGCTCAAACTTTATTTTCTTCGCACTGTAAAAATATCAGCGTGAAAGTTTCAGTTTCAGCTCGGCACACTGTGATTTGGGGTGCTAAAGAAAAGTATTCTCACAAGCACACACAAAATGCTTTTGTTTAGCTTTTATGATGCATCCTTAAAGCACTAACTGATTTTTTTTTCTTCTTTCTTAAACAAAGGCAACTTGCTGGTGTTTAGTCGGCTCCTTTGAACTGTGCTTTTTAAACAAAGCAGATGTGCTGTGTGAAACCTTTTAGGACAGTGGGCAAAAACTTAAGTAAAGGAGACATGTTGCTTTTGTAAGCTTTTGAAGCCACAAGACTCAATTAGCTGCAGTCTGCTTCTAAAACAACAAAAACCCATTCCAGATGGCCTTTGGTCACCTTTGAGAAGCCAGAATCTGAACTCCAGTCTCTGGATGAAGCCAACTTGGTAAACACACTTATATAAATTCAAACTTCTAGGAGAGACTCTTATCAGCATTTCAACTTTCTCTTTAAAATAAACAGTTTCAACATTTCTTTTTCTAATTACTCGGTAATTTTGCTTTTGCTTCTTGAAAGTAAATAAGCAACAATGGCCAAAAATCTGCTACAAGGACTAAGAAGAACTACGTTTTCACTTTGGCAACATAGGCCTGCACTGGCAGCTAGTGGAGCCTTTCGCATTAAAATGGAAATTGCCTTCCTTGACAGATGCCTTGGCTTGAGCCATGATTAAAATTTGGCCAGTCTCTTTGCAGGGATAGTTTTTCAGAAAAAGTACCAAGTGAAATTAGCCTTCTGTCCACTGGACACATGCTAGCAAAAAAAAATAAAGCAACTGCTTTTAAGGTTCAAAAACTAAGTTTCATGGCACAGTTTTACCTAAGACTAGCTGACATTTTGAAGCTTTACAGAAAGCCAGCTCGGACGCTTCTTACCTGTGGTTTTGGTAGAAGTTGTTGTTGTCTGTGTGGGCACTGGGGAAATACAAAGAGGACAAATCAGATAATTGGATTCAAACTCTGCTCAACAACTCTTTGTGTCGATAAGTAAGCCAATTAGACAGGAATACGTAACAAATCACTGATGGTAAAATAGATTTTCTTCTCCTGAGATAAGCTGAGACAAACAAATCAATGCAAATGTGTTCATGCAGTGCTTTGCTTTGACTCAGAAATGCTCATTTTCTTACCCTAAATGCACATGTGATTGCACTGATCTGTTATAATAAGCAGACAGCAGTGCTCTATCAGGAGGAATTACATCTCAAGGAAAGCTGAGCCTCACTATTGTCAAGTTTAATATTGATTAGATAAAGCAAAAACTCACAGCTCTGTGAGTTAAACAACCTCGTCACACTTACATGTGGTTTGAGTGACAAAGACTGTGTCGCTCTCAGAATTGTCTTTGAATATGGCCGTCAGCATAACTTCATACTCAGTGGAGGGACTGAGGCCGGTCAGCGTGTATCTGTTATCACTTCCACTCAAGACCACCTACAGGAAAGAAACAAACCTCATATTTGTTACTGAAGCAATTACAGTTAAGTGATAAACTCACTTAAAAACTTAGCATCTTCTGATTTGTGCTTTTAGTTGCTGCTATATTTGCCAGAACAAGTTGAATCTGAAGAATTTTGTAAGTTCAAATATTGAAAAACAGCAAGAATGTTATCAAACAGTCTGATGATGTTATTAATACTCTAATGAAAAACTCCAGGCTGTCAAATTCCAAGGTCGTGACTGAGTTTTAGGAGAGAAAGCTGCTGAAAACCTAAAATAATAATAAGTCATCTCATAATTTCTGCAGGTAGAGGGAGAAACAGCAGGAAATGGTAGTGCAGGTGGTAGTAAAGCAGGTATGCATGGAGATTACATGTAGTATTTTCATTGTTATATTGAACAAAACAAAAATAATATGACCAGCATAAGTGTTACTGGATTAAGATGTTTCCTATGATATAACTATCACAGGCGTGTGTGGTTTCCTACGAACACAAAATGCTTCCAGTTGGACTCACTGCATCTGCACTAGTCCAAAGAACCACTACAAATTGTTTAACACAGAAAAAATCAGACCCCAAGGTACACACAAAGAGGTCAACAAGAGTACAGCACACTTCTACCGAGAGAAACCCTGAAATTAGTATTTGCTCCAGATGGCTCAATAACCAGATTATGCGGAGGTATTTGTTTCTTTGCGAAACCCTCCGAGGTATAGTTGCATGCAGATTTCACCAACGGGGGCACTTTGTGCTTTCCCTGAAGCAAGTGTATTGTTTATGAGTCATTGTCTCCCTTTCCTTTTTACATCTTCTTGCATTTAATGTAAAATTTTCTATTTTATTTTATTGTTTCCCGAGACTCATGCAGATACGTTTTTGAAAAAAGAAAAGACGACTTAAAAAGAAAGATATCAAATTATCATAAAGTTTTTGTCTGGATAACATTTCACTCTGTGCTGTATGCATTATGTCTAATCCCCTCTCAGATGTAACAATACCGAGAAAATCGATGAAGGATGCAAATGTGTGTGTCTGTGTGTGTGTGT